GTCGGAATCAGCTTGACAGCACCACCACCACCACCACCACCATGGAATCCTGACGTTGGTACCAAAATAGGCCCAGGTTCACATATGAGCTCTGCTACTTCCCAGCCACGTGAGAGGGGCATTGGAGTCAGGGCTGTGACAAGTGTGTAGGAGTTCGGGAGTGAATAAGGTAGATGTTCAGTCATGAATGTTGAGTCATTGAATGAGCGCAGGAGAAAGAGTCTGTTCAAGAATCCTTTTGGTTTGGGAACTGGAGTCCCACGCCCCTGATTTGCTGCGCTGGACTGTTAGGGTGAAAGGGGCACAGGAGGGTACGGTCCAATGCACAGTCGCCCAGTACATAGGGACCCAGTTAAGGTTTGAACCCAGGCGTCTACTTTTCAGCTGCTGCTGTCCTCTTTGGCCAGGAGGCCCTAATGAGCCCGGCTGGGGTTTCTGGGAACGGTGGCCCTGCCCCACCCACTCCCCTCCTTCCATGACTGGTTACCAGGGCACTGGATGAGCTCCCTCCTGCAACCCTCAGGCTGCACTGTCCCTTTCTGCCCATTCTACAGAATGAGAAACTCAAGCCACAAGTGGAGTGGCAATTTGTTGCTGGGTCATCCAGACGGTGAAAATAGAGGTCAACGTCAACCAGTCTCATTCAATCGGAGGGTCTGCCCAGCAATGAGTACCTCAGCCCTGAGCCTCAGTCCCCTGTGGTTCATGCTGACTCTGGCAGAGCCTGGGGAAACCAGGAAAGGCTGCCTGAAGGAGGGGGGCACTGGAGACAGGGCATTGAAGGATGTGTAGGAGTTCAGGATGATTTTCAGCATCCAGTTTGCCCTGGCTGTCTCCTTTGCCCATTCAGCCATGAGGGCAGAGGGAGATGCCTGGGGAGGAAGAGGCCCTGGTTGTCACAGGTCTTAAGAGACAAAGAAAGTGGCAGGTCCTGCCTTTCACCCAATTTAACCTCCCAGGGAGAACAGGGTGGCAGGTCCATGACCCAGTTACTGGCTGTTTGTCTTCCTGCCTCCATGCCTGCCTGGGATCATCAGTGACGTGGGTGCCTGCCCCTGCCCGCCTCCTTGGCACTCTTCTACAGAGAGGAGAGAGGGGCCTTGGAAGGGGGACTCACAGGTAGGGATCAAAGAAGAGGGGCTCAGACAGAGAAGAGGAACTCAGGGGGAGAGGCCCTCAGAAGTGGGACCAGCTCAGAGAGAGGGGAGTTCAGGGAGGGCAAGGCTCTGGGGGCCAGTCACCCCTCCCCTCCTTGCTGATGATCCAGCTGCCCCTTCTTAGCCACCTCTTATCTTGAGTGGCAACCTTGGGTGGCAGCCATGACCTGGCATTGACGCCTGCTGTCCTGGCTTTGTGCCCGCCTGGCACCCCTTCCCCAGCAGTGACCTGTGTCTCAATCAATACCTCCCCCCTGCCCCCACTGACCCACTTCCCCACCCCTGGCTTCTCCAACCAGACAATCTGGGCTCTGCTCCTGGCTCTGCCAACCCGCTGTGTGACCCCGAGTGAGTTCCTGCCCTCTCTGGGTCTGGCGTGTTGAGCTGGGACAGACAGGAAAGGCAGCCCTGAGGTTGGATCGGGACTGGTATGGGGTGGGCTACCCTAGTCCTCCTTGGCCTCAGACAGTTAGCTTTGGGGGGGTGGGGCAAAGGGTTCAAGCGCAGCTGTTGTGGTGCCTCGCATTTCGGGGGGACATTGGAGTAGGGGAACTGGGCTGGCACCGCCTACGCACCATCCCGCCCCTCCCCAGTGAGAGCAGTCAGCTATTTTCAGAGCCCCGGTCATAGGTGAAAAATGATGTCATACCACCCCACCCCAGTGGCTGGAGGTAGCCCTGCAGGAGATGAAGTGCAGAGCAGGGAGGGTACTCCTGTGGGGGCATGGTGTGTGTCCAGGCCAGGAGGGGACCGCCACAGTCATCTAGAAAGCAGATGAGGATTCGGGAAGACCTGTCTCCCTCTTCCTGAGGCCCCAACACCCCAGAGAACAGGCTGTCCTAGGAGAGAGGTCGATGGCCTTCATGCGGTCAGGGTCCCAGGTTCTTGTCCTCACCCAGGCCTTGAGATCGTGGGGAACTTTGGCCAGGGCTCTGCCCTCTTTTGGGGCCTTAGTTTCCCTCATTATGTAATGGAGTGCCGAGCCTCAGGATTTTTTTCTGCCTCTGGGAAGGTTGCAGAGGAGCTCGGTTGGTACACTGCTTAAAGCATTTCGGCTGCTAACCAAAAGGTCGGTGGTTTGAACCCACCAGCCACTCCGTGGAAGAAAGATGAGGCAGTCTGCTTCTGTAAAGATGACGGCCTGGGAAACCCTATGGGGCAGTTCTACTCTGTCACATAGGGTCGCTAGGAGTCGGAATTGGCTTGCTGGGCAATGGGTGTTTGTTTGTTTTTTGTTTGAGAGCTGGGAGGAGGATAATGGGGTTAGTATGCTGGAAAGAGACGTCTTCTCCTTCCAAGGAGCCCAGGGCCTGTGGGGCATAGCCAAGGCAAAAGCAGGGAGGTGTGACCAGCATTTGCTCCTTTGGCTATCTCCTGGAAATTCATTCCCCCTGAGGCTGATAACCAGGTTCTGGACCTCTGCAGACTCAGTTTCATGCTGAGCAATGGGGAGAACTGGACAGGCCCCCAGGGAAGGGGGCCGGGGACTTCTCAGTGCCCCAGTTGCTCTCTGAGGGGTGGCCCAACTGGGGTGCGGTTGTTGACATGGGAGATTAGATGGCTGTGGGTTCCAGTCCCAGCCCTACCCCTTGGAGCTAGGTGGTCTCTCAGGGTCTGAGTTTTGTCAGCTGGAAAATGGGTATTGTGGCCTCCCTGTGACACAGAATGGACATGAGTGGGGGTGCTGAAGTTACAGCTCTGGCTGGGTCTCGGAGCCTCCTCGGGCCTCAGTTTTCCCCATCCGTATAATGGGTCTGTGAGGGACAGGGCAGGGTGAGCTGGTCCCAGGGGCCCCTCTGTCCAGCTCTGAATCTTCACAACTGAGCCCCTTCTCTGGACTCAGTTTCCCTATCCCTACGGTGAGTTTGTGGAAGAGAAGTGAAAGGGGCCAGGGTGGAAGATAGCTCAGGAATATCCCCCCCTTCCCCAGCTTAATTCTGCCACATGCTGATCTCTAGCCTCCCCGGGCCTCAGCTTTCCTGGCCCCTGTAGTACATCTGAGGCACAAAAGGCAAGCACCAGTTCTCTGAGTGTGGCTCCCCTGCATTTATTGAGCACCTACTGTGTGCTGGATACTACTCTTGGTGCTTGGGAATGTGGCAGCTTGTACTCTAAGGGGAACCAAAGAAAAAGCCAAACCTGTTGTTCTGAAGCCAACTGCCATTCATGGCGACCCTGTGTGTTACGGAGCAGAACTGCTTCATGACGTGTTCTTGGCTGTAATCTATGGAGGCAGGTCCCCAGGCCTTTCTTCTATGGCACCGCTGCGTGGGTTTGAACCATCAACCTTTCATTTGGTAGCTGAGTGTAAACCTTTCGCACTACCCAGGGACCTTCACTCTAGTGCAAGGGGTCTGCAAACTATGGGCCCCTGAGCTGAATGCCTGCCAGCTGTTTTTTTTTTTTTTTTTTTTTTTAATTGTGATTTGGGTGAATTACAGAGCAAATTCACTTTCCATACAGCAGTTCACACACATTTTGTCTCATAACATTGACTACAATTTCCCACAATGCAACAGCCCCCTCCCACTTCCTCTTCCCTGTGTTACCTCTTCCCTGTGTCCATCCCTCCATGCACTCCTGCCCCCTGAACTGTCTCCTTGTGCATACACAGCCCTTCTTTCTCCCATGATTGTTCTCTCCAAGGAGTGTATCTACCTCAGGTACATGTTCAACTCCTATGCCTGTCTTTTGCTTGGCTGGAAGCCACAGTGTGGGTTTAATTCCAGACCTGAAGGGCAGCTAGGGGCCATAGTCTCAGTGGTTCCACCAGGCTCTATCAGACCAGCAAACCTGGTCCCCCCCCCTTTTTTTTTTCCAAATGATTTTGAGTTTTGTTCCATATTGTTCTCCCTCTCTACCCAGGATCTCCTACATAGATCCCCCTCTGAGTGGTTGACAGTGATAGCTGGGCACCATCTAGTTCTTCTGGTCTCATAGTTGTATAGGCTGAGGATCGCATGGTGTACCAGTCACAAGGACTAATTGTTTCCATGAATGTTTGGTTTTCTTCATTCTTCTTTGCTCTGGATGAGGAGAGACCCATCGTTGCATCTAGGTGGCTGCTTGCAAGGCTTTAAGATCCCAGTTGCTACTCATCAAAGTAGGAGGTGGAACAATGTTTTGTGTAGTATTTTATGCCAATTGAGCTTGATGTCCCTGCAACTATGGTCCTGAGCTCACAGGTTCAACTGCTTGCTCCCTCTGGGTAGCTGTCTGTGACCAAGAAGTGACTACAACCTTGTCCCTTGTCAGTTCTACTATACCCCTGGGAATTCTTACAGAACATACAAATACACTTGTAGAACCATTGTCTGCCAACCCTATATATGGTCTTGGGTACACTCCCTGCTGCATCGACATACCTAATAGTTAGGCCTGTCTACCCATCTATTCACCTGTATACCTGTGTTTGCCTTCACTGACAACGCAGTACTGTATGTCTGCCAGCTCCTTTTGTAAATAAAACTTTATTGGCACACAGCTATCCTCTCTCTGGTGGCTTTCCCTTTTGAGTAGTTGGAACAGGCACCATACAGCCTGCAAAGCCAAAAGTATTCAGCACGTCCTTTACAAAAACGTTTGCTGACCCTGGTCTAGTAAGCAGAGAAGGGGTTGGGTCTCCCAAACTCAGTTTTCCCTTCTATACAATGGGTCCACCATCACCTTCACCCTGGATGTGCCTTCCTCTCTCCTGGGCCCTCAGCTCACGCCCTCTGAATACTGAGGTTCACCATGGTGCTCTGGGAACTGCTGCCCTGACCCATGCTTCCCACGTAGCCCAGTCCTCAGTCTGCCCATCTGGGGAATGGGTCCTTGCATGAACTTCTGCTGGGTCCGCAGGGTGGACGAGTGTTCTCTTTTCCCTTCTGCTCAGCCCTCCTCACCCATGCAGTGGGTTTGCTTGGGGCCCTCGTAGCCTCAGTCTCCCAGCCCGAGCAATGGATCTGCCCGGGGTCCTGGCATCTCCTGACCTCCCGCCTCTTCCTGCAGGATGAGTTCCACCCGTTCATCGAGGCGCTGCTGCCTCACGTCCGCGCCTTCGCCTACACCTGGTTCAACCTGCAGGCGCGGAAGCGCAAGTACTTCAAGAAGCACGAGAAGCGGATGTCGAAGGACGAGGAGCGGGCGGTGAAGGACGAGTTGCTGGGTGAAAAGGCCGAGGTGAAGCAGAAGTGGGCGTCGCGGCTGCTGGCCAAGCTGCGCAAGGACATCCGGCCCGAGTGCCGCGAGGACTTCGTCTTGGCCATCACCGGCAAGAAGGCGCCGGGCTGCGTGCTCTCCAACCCCGACCAGAAGGGCAAGATGCGCCGCATCGACTGCCTGCGCCAGGCCGACAAGGTGTGGCGGCTGGACCTGGTCATGGTGATCCTCTTCAAGGGCATCCCCCTCGAGAGCACCGACGGCGAGCGCCTGGTGAAGGCGGCGCAGTGCGGCCACCCGGTGCTCTGCGTGCAGCCGCACCACATCGGGGTGGCGGTCAAGGAGCTGGACCTCTACCTGGCCTACTTCGTGCGCGAGCGAGGTGAGGGCGGGGCGCGGCGCGGCGGGGGCGGGGCCTCGCTGCAGAGGCTGACTCAGAGCAAGGGCCAGATAGGGTGTGACATGGGGTCTGACGGGGACGTAGGTGCCGTGCATGGGCCTGAGCGGGGAGGCATGGTGCAAGGGCAATCTAAGTGGGGAGGCAGGTCTACACGGGGGCCTGAAGGTGGAGGCAGAACGTGCCTTGGGGGTCAGAAGAGGGAAGAGGTTCAATGCAGGGACCTGGGTGGATCAGGAAGTCCAAGGGGGGCAATATGGTGCCACAGGAGTCCGAGGGAGGAGGCGGGAGCGATGAGGAATCTCAGGTGGGAGGCCTATGTGATGTGGGGGTCTCGGGGGAGAGACGTGCAAGGTGAGTCTGAAGGGGGAGGCTCGTGAGCCGTGGGGGTTTGAAGGGAGAAGCCAAAGCTACCCTAGGAATCCAAGGGGGGACGCCGAGCCTGGGGGTGCAGCTCAGGGGCCTGCTGTGGGACAAGGGCGTTTGAGGGGGGCAAATGGCTCTCAGAGAGTCTAGAAGGGGTGGCAGGTGCAACAGGAAGATATGAAATTAGAGGCAAGGCTGACCTTGAGGTCTGCAAGCTCTGGGGTCTCTGAGGGGATGAGAAATTGCCCCAGAAGATCTGAGGGGTGTGATGTGGCTGTGTCAGGAACAGAAAAGATGTGGGGAGACCAGCAAGCATGCCCCCGAAACCTGCTCTCAAGATAATGCTGGAGGGGTCCTGGGCCCCCCATCTGTGAACAGCTGACAGAGGCCTGACGAGCTGCAAGTTTGTGACACACAGGAGGCTGTGTGACTCTGGCTAGGTTTCTGCCCTCTCTGGGCCACACCTTCCCCCTCTCTAACCCTTCCAGCTGGGTGTTTGTTGGCTCCAGGTTTAGAGTGGGGAAATCCATGGTGGCTTCCTGGAAGAAGAGACCTGGATGGTGGTGACCACTGATAGGCTTGAGGGCATGCCAGGGGACAGTGGCCATCTGGGCAAAAGTGTGTGAGCCAAAGTGTGGTCCACCTTCTCAGGGTCACTAGGTCTGACTTTGACTGTTCAACACTGGCCTCAATTTCCCCATGTGTCATATGGGAGTTTCAGAGTACCCCCTCGAGTGGGCTACAGAGATTGGGCAAGATCGTGTGTGTCGCGTATTGAGCCCCAGCCTGCCATGTGGCGCGTCAGCTGTCACCATCTTCATGTGGACAGAATTCAGTGCCACCTGCAGAAAAAAGAGTGGGTACAGCTGCCACTCGCCAGCCATGGCCACCCAGGCCCAGCCTGGCACACTGCCTGCGTGCATACCCAATGCAGACCCATGGGGTTGCATACCCAGGCCACGCCCTGGCAGACCCCACATGAGCATGCATGGGGATGAGGCCAGGGGGTGGGAGCCAACTGTCAGGCCCCCAAAGCAGGCCTGCCTGTGTGATGGGCACAGCCCCTTTCTGAGTTTCTCAGTTTCCTCATCAGCATAAGAGGGGTCACAGCCAGGTTGCCTCAGAGTATTGGTGTGAGATCTTGGAGCTACCAGCCCTGGGTGTGTGGGAGGGAGGCCAGGGACTGGGAGTTTCTGGGGAGGAAGGGTCACTGGGCCAGTCCCACCCCGCAGTCCTGCCCTTGCTGCCTTGACTTTGACCTTGGCATCTGCTGGCACTGCAACACTCACAGCAATGAATGAGAGGGGCCCGAGGTGGAGTCGCCTTGTGGGTCGTGGAGGCAGGGACTGGACAAGGTGACTCTCTGTCGTGGGCAGGGGGAGGCAGCTGCGGGGGCTTCATCGCCATGCAGGACCAGGCCTCTCCCTCTGCATCCATCCGCTGGCCCGCCCTGCCCCCACCTCCTCCGCAGCGGCGCTGAGCTGATAAAATTTTGAAGCGAGTTTTCTGCCCGCGTCAGCGCAATCCCCAGCCGCCTCCCCTCCCCCACACAGCCCCTCCCCCGCTCAGCTCAGCAGGCAGCCCAGGCCTCCAGGCCTCCCCAGACACCTTCTTCTGTCTGGCCGCCATGCCTCTGCCCCCAAGTCCAGCAGGCGTGCCCACATACAGGCTAAGGAAGGTCAAGGCTGTGGCCTCCCCTGCTCCCAGCCTGCCCCGGCTATCCCATCACCCAAGGAAATCCCTGATGACCGCGCCCCAACCCTGCCCCCTACGTGAGGGTCTGGGAGGAGGGCTATCCCTGGATTCTAACCCCAGCTTGATGCCTGCTTGCTGTGTGACCTAGGGCAAGTCGCTTGACCTCTCTGTGCTCCCATTTCCTTCCCGGGTAAAAAATGGGGAACTCAGAATAGGCCTCCTCATAGGACAACGGGGACCCACGGTGAGTGCTCAACACCCAACCCCCTGAGGCTGAGTTGGCAGTTATTGTTACTAACAGTGTCATTGTCATTGTTGTTAGATGTTGTCAAGTTGGTTTTGGACTCATAGCAACCCCGTGTGACAGAGTGGAACTGCCCCGTAGGGTTTTCTAAGCTGTACTCATTACAGGAGCAGACTGCCAGGTTTTTCTCTCATGGAGCCACTGGGTGGGCGCGAATCATCAATCTCTCAGTTAGTAGCTGAGTGCTTAACTGTTGCACCGCCAGGGCTCCTTAGCATCATCATCATCAGGATTGGGATTTCCCAAAACCTCCAGCCCATGCTGTTCCTTGTGCCTGGAATGCCCTTCCCCATCTGGAAAACTCCTGCTCATCCTTCAAAACCTCAACTCCTAGCTCCATTTTCTCCTCCCCAGCATTCTTCTAGAAGCTTTGTGTGGCTTGGCAATTTCTCTTTTGTTCTCACAGCAGCCCTAGGAGGCAGATACTATTGTTGTACCCACTTTACAGACAAGGAAACAGACGCTCAAAGAGGGAATGACCCTGTCTGAGGTCATGTAGCTCGGGGATTTGGGCCCAGCCAGTTTCTGCCTCTCGCTGGCACTCACTCCCAGCCCTCCACCCTCATGGCATGTGAGGCGGGTGCCAGGCAGCATGGCTTGGCTGCCTCCAGGGTGGCAGTCTCTGTCTGGGGACTCCATAGGCTGAAGTCTTGTTCAGGGTCCCTGGGCCAAGCCCCAGCTCCTTGATCGCTCTCCCAGGACCCCTTCCCGTTCTGAGCCGGAGTATAGTCTCTGTTCTCCAGATGGCAGCTGGCAGTCTGACAGCCGGAAGAACCGGCCACCAGCCCCCCTCCTTCTGCCGTGACAGTCCCCAGGGCTGGAGGGGTCCCGGCCTAAGCCAGAGCACAACGTCTGGCTTTCATCAGAAGTGTTGGGTGGCTGTGGCCCTGAGGTTGACAGGCAGGGTGCAGCGGGGGCGGGGCTTCATGAGCCTGTGGAGGGGGCTGGGCAGG